CTCCCCCTGCTTGTGTTCCCTCTCTCGCTGTGTCTCTCTCTGTCAAATAAATAAATAAAGTCTTAAAAATAAATAAATAAATAAATAAAAGCCCTCTAATATGTCAGGGTGGGGGTATCCCGTCATTTCTGCCCCTGTGACACTGACTGCCCTGCCTGCATCAGGACAGTGCTTGACTTCCTCCTGTGATGCTCTCTGCGCAGTAGATGTCCAATATCTACACACTGAACTCCAATCAAGGTGTTCTTCCCCCTCCAGCCAATCAACTCCCAAGTCCCCTCATGGAGCCTCTTTCCAGCCCTCTAACCCAGGCCTTCCTCCTGCGCCTCCCCCTGCTACTTCGTTAGGTGTTTCCCTCAACACTTCTCACCTGAACTACTATCTTGTCTCCTAAGCTTCCCTCCCCACTCAGGTTGCTGAAATGATTGTCCTAAACCACAAATATGGACATACTATTTCCCAGCTCAAAGACCTTCTGGGCTAGCCACCGGCAAAGAATGAAGTTGGTATGCCAGGCAAAGCTGTCTGGGAAGCGTCTCTGCTCCTCTCTCAAGCTTTTCCTTCCACTGCTCCCCTGCCCTTGCCCTAAAGCCCAGCCATATCAGACTACTAGACTATGAAACTGACAGTTTTAGACCAAAAATAGTCAAATGTCAACAGTTTCACATGGTTCAACCTACTGTTAACTGTTCTGGAAAAGGCCAGGAGGTTTCATATTTGTTCCCTCTGCCAAGAACGCTCTTCGCCCCCACCCTTCCTCCCTCTCTCCATCCATTTATCCGTTCATTCCATCAATATCTACCAAGAGCTAGTATGTGCCAGAACCTAGTCTAGGCACAGGGAATACAGTGGTGAAGAAGATGGACAAGACCTTTGCTGTCATGGAGTTCATATGTGTGAGAGGGAAACAGACAACAATTAATCAAATAATCTCAGACAGTGGGTTATGACGATAACAGCACAGGGCAAAGTCCTAGTGATGGACTGGAAGGGCCACTACACACAGAGTAAATGGAGAAGGCCTGAGGAGGTTTCATACAAAGTGACACATCAATGAGGAGAAGGAGCAAACAAAGCAGATGGGAGAAGACTGTTCTGTGCAGAGGGAAGTGAGTGTGCAAAAGCCGACAGTGCAGAATGAGCCCAGGGTGTTCACAGGGTAGAGAGGAATCTGTGTGGCAGCACAGAAATGAAACTTGGGGTCTGCTATGAGGTCAGAACAGTAGGTGGGAAGGGGTCGAAATGGGAGACTGCTGTGCCCCACTCAGAGCCCTTTACCAGTGTCACCTTGCTCTGGAGAGTTGCCCTCAGGCAGAAATGCCAGTGGTGGGGAGTGGACGTAGCCAATAACTTGTGAATCCAGGCCACAAAAGCCCAGTCCCCTCACCTTCAGTGGCATGGTGCCACTCATGCTCCAGAGCTCGCCCTGGGGCCAGGCGGGCTGAGCTGGGCTCCCGCTGAACCTGCCTCTCTGCTGTCCCCTGATCTTATCCTTACAGGCTGTTCCAGAGAGCTCTCCCTCAACAAACCACTTACACAAAAATCCTCCTCTCAGCTCTGCCTCCAGTGAACCTGAACTAAGATAGGAAGGCATGTAGGCAGAGTTTTACTTTGACATGATACATCTATAGGACTTCCAAGATTTATCTTTCTCATTGCTCAGCTTTAATGTGACTAGAGGCAAATTTTTCTAGGGCGCCTGGGTGGCTCAGTTGGTTAAGCGACTGCCTTCGGCTCAGGTCATGATCCTGGAGTCCCGGGATCGAGTCCCGCAT